GAGACAGGGGGGGATTGATGGAGGGATTGATGGGGGGATTGATGGGGGATTGATGGGAGAGGGGAGGGGGGAGGGAGGGGGGGGAGGGAGAGGGAGGGGGGGGAGGGGGGGATGGAGGGGAGGAGGGGGGGGAGGGGGGGGGCGGTATCTTTACTTTGATGCCTCCGCCGCCGTATCGGATGTGGGCTCGGCCAGAGCCTTGGCCTCGGCCTTGCCAATGTCTTCGGTAAGCGACTTGCAGCGGATGCCAACAAGGCGGGAAAAGTCATAGTCAGAGCTGACGGCCTCGGCAGCGGCGATGTGGGTGCGGGCATCGGCGAGCGCGCCGCGCTTGAGGGCAAGCGCCGCCATCTCGGCCTCGGTCCACGGGACGGCCCAGTACTCGGAGAGCTCTGTGAGATCGGAGAAGACGCCGCGGGTCTTGGCCTCGGCCACCGAGGCAAGAAGCTCGGTGCCGGCAGTGTAGGCGTCGTCGAAGCGTTCGAGCTTGTGCAGGAGCGAGACCCGCATGTAGCCGAGCATGGCGGTCTGGGCGAGAACCTCGGGTTCGGGCTCCGAGTTGTCGGCGCCGGCAGCAAGGGCGGCATCGACGACGTCGAGCCCCTGGTCGTACGAGGCACAGTCGCGGCAAAAGTAGGCCTGCGAGTAGGCGAGCTCGGCGGGGCGGAAGGAGCCACGGGCGGCAAACTGGGCGGCGCGGCGGGCGGCGTAGGCCGAGAACGCGCGGCGGGCCGGGGCGTCGAGTAGGAGCAGGTCGGCCATGGCGCGGGCGGCGTCGTCGGTACGCCCCACCGAAGCGTAGGCAATGGCAAGCTGATATGTTGCCCATGGGAGCCAGGTCGGCGCCGTGGTGTACGCCAGAAAGTCCTCCATCAGCGGAATGGCCGCGTCGTACTCGCGGGTGCCGAGGAAGCAGCGCGCAAGCTCACGGCCCGAATTCCGGCGCAGCTGCTCAACCTCGGCCCGAGCGTGTAGGACGCCAAAGGCCTTGTGTGCCGCCTCCATCTCGCCGTTCCGGCGATAATAGTAGCCAAGGACCATGTTCACCAAGTACGAGTCTGGGAGCAGCGGCGCAAGACCGTCGGCCACAATCGCCGCGCCGGCGGCTTCCTTCTCGCGGTCGTCCTCGGCAAAGACAAACATGTAGATGGTGGCGAGGAGGAGGCCGCAGGTCGGCGCCTCGAGCGACGGGTAGGCGTAGCCCGCGCAGAGCAGCGCAAGCGCGGCGTCGGCGTCGCCCTCGAACCCGATGAGCCGGGTGAGCCAAGTCCATGACGGCGGGACCCGCGAGAATATGTACAGAAAGGCTGCAAGGCCCAGATGTGCCCACGAGACCAGGTACGAGAAGTCGAGGCAGGCGCGGGTGTCGCCGTCGGCCTCGGGGCCGACCGCCACCACCATGCGATCAAACGGAGCGGCAGTGGCAAAAAGGGCAAGCCGGGCCGGCGGCGGCGCATCCGACGACGCTGCGCCGCCCGACGCGCTGGCTGCAGCCTTGACGTACTCGGGCACTGGCTCGAACTCGGCCGGGCCGGCATCGGCAAGAGCGGCCATCTCGTCGGCAAGGAGAGTGCGGGCCTTGGCGATGGCCTTCCACGCGCGGCGGACGGAGAAGCCGCCCTTAACATACGCGCCGGATCGGAACTGGAGGACGCAGAGGAGGCCGTCGGCAATGCCCTCGGCGAGCGTCAGCTCGGCATCGATCAACGCGCGGGCGTTGTCGTCAATCCAAGGCGGCGCGGCTCCGGGTGTGGCGGTCCGTTTGCTGCGGAAGAGCTTCTTGAACGACTTGATGATGCCCGAGTCGAGGGCGGCACGGACGCGAGCTACAACGGCAGTAACCGTGTCGAGCGCCTCGCGCGCCGCCCGCAGATCGTCCTCGTCCTCGGTCGATGTCGCCACCACCACCGCCAGCTCGGCGTCGTACATAGAAGCCGAGGCCGAGACCTCGACATGGGCATGCAGCGCCGCCCGCGCCGCCCGCCACTGGCCATTGAACCGCAGCGCACGCGCCTTGTCCAGCACCGGCCGTGCTTCAACCGCCCCCATCAGATATGCCTGGAGCACTGCTGCGTCGCCCATGGCGAAAGAGCGAGAGCGAGCGAGAGAGAGAGAGAGAGAGAGAGAGAGAGAGAGAGAGAGAGAGAGAGAGAGAGAGAGAGAGAGAGAGAGAGAGAGAGAGAGAGAGAGAGAGAGAGAGAGAGAGAGAGAGACGGT